TGTAAGACTAGAGAGAAGGCGGCTAGTCATCACCACCCACCGCCAACTCTTGGGCCACTCTTTTACCAACAAATAGTGGGATTGACCGTCACGTTATAACGCCCCCACGGCTGAAAGGGCGAGCATGTTTGGTAGGACCGTGATTCGAACCCACGACCCGCAGATTGCGAATCGAGCTCCTTAACCATCTGGCCATGCCGGGCCTGTAAGACTAGAGGGAAGGCAGCTAGTCATCAACACCCACCGCCAACTCTTGGGCTACTCTTTTACCAACGAATAGTGGGATTGACTGTCACATTATAATGCCTCCACGGCTGAAAGGGCGAGCACGTTTGGCGGGACGGGGATTCGAACCCTAACCGCCTAGCCATGCCGGGCCAATATAAGAATGGTACATTCGTACAAGAATAATCTGTACGGATATTCCATTTTTAATATCCTTCTTTAAATTGGTAATAACGTTATTTTTTCTTTAAAGTACTTTTAGTAAAAGTACTCGTGGTATTAATTTCGTTAAGCAAAATTTGTGCATATAACTTTTTTTACACACAAAACCAAAATTACAGCCAGCTTTATCAATCGGGTTAATAAGAAATTCTTTTTTGAATTTATTTCATTTTTAAAGACATTGAAAGAGATATCTAATTCGTATCGAGATAAGTTTAAGGTTCTTAATCGGTTCTTTACGGAATTAATAAAATATAATTCCCATTCAAAAAAAGAAACATAGGATTGTTCACTTATTTCAAGAATATATTCATCAATATTATTCTCTCAGTCTTCTAAGATTTCACATTTTTTTTGCGTGTTTTAAAATTCTATATTTAGTACCTTTCTTTAATATTGATTGTAATTCTTTATCTTCGACAACTTCTAAATTTCCTGTAACTATACGATTATGAAAGATCATTACAGTTATTATTATACTATTATTACAGTTACAAGGTAAGTTGTCAACTTCTATTTGATTATATTCTTCAATTAATTTTTTTTACAGTTAAAGAGAAGAGGTTCTATAGGTTTATTATATTTAAAACTGACTACAAGTTGAGACGATTTTATGGGGAAGATATCTTCTTGAATACTTTTTTATGGATCAGGGAAGATAAATATAAATCATCCCGAGCTTTATGTTTAAAATCAATTACTATATAAGATTTATCTTATTTCCAATACTGAAGGGAGTGTAGGTATACGATTACATTTTAACCTCAATTTAATTAGATTTATAATTAAATCTTTAACATGGATATTTTTATATTCAAAGTTTAAGACGATAAATATTTGAGTTTAATTACTAGAAATGTCAAGGTGGTTTTTATTTCTACTTCAAGAAATTTAAGGGTAACTGCCTTTCCACAACTGGCTATAGACAGTGAAAAGCAGTAGAAACTGAGACGTCGTGGGGGGTAAGCACTCAGCTTCGTACCCTTAACATCAGCGTTTGGATTTTGTCTGATATCCCCCCAACGCATTTGGGTGCTATTTCCACAGACACTATCCGTTATGACAATAAGTTGACAACCAGGACCGATAACGGTTGTGTATATATATTTATAGACATTAGATATTACCGAACTTTCTTCCCTTTTCACTTTATTTTGGTTGTAACTAGAATGCTCGTTTTTGTTGTTGTCTTTTTTTTTTTTTTTTTTGCTTTTAGAAGTTGGTCACAATACACAAGACCGTGTGGATAAAAGAGATTTTCTTTCGATTTCTAGACTATTGACCCTGGGTTCATCAACTTCCCTGCCCGTGTTGTCATCGGAGTTTGGTGGTTCACCAACGTTGTACTAATTTCTGCTTACACCGCTAAGTTGGCTGCTGTTTTCACTGCAGAACGCCTTGTAACAGGTAATACTGGGTGTTAGAGAAAGGTGTTTGTAGTACTGTGTATAGGGAAGGATATGTGCATAAGGGAAACGTGTGTGTACAGGAAGTCTCGTGTATTAGTACTACACTATGTATTAGGGAAGAATATGTATATACTGTGTATTATGGAAACGTATGTGTACAGGAAGGATTGTGTATTGGGGAAGTTTGTATGTGCGGTACTGTGTGTTAGGGAAGGGTATGTGTATTATGGAAACGTGTGTGTACAGGAAGTCTCGTGTATTAGTACTACACTATGTATTAGGGAAGAATATGTATATACTGTGTATTATGGCAACGTATGTGTACAGGAAGTATTGTGTATTGGGGAAGTTTGTATGTGCGGTACTGTGTGTTAGGGAAGGGTATGTGTATTATGGCAACGTATGTGTACAGGAAGTATTGTGTATTGGGGAAGTTTGTATGTGCGGTACTGTGTGTTAGGGAAGGGTATGTCTATTATGGAAACGTATGTGTACAGGAAGTATTGCGTATTGGGGAAGTTTGTATGTGCGGTACTGTGTGTTAGGGAAGGGTATGTCTGTTATGGAAACGTATGTGTACAGGAAGGATTGTGTATTGGGGAAGTTTGTATGTGCGGTACTGTGTGTTAGGGAAGGGTATGTGTATTATGGCAACGTATGTGTACAGGAAGTATTGCGTATTGGGGAAGTTTGTATGTGCGGTACTGTGTGTTAGGGAAGGGTATATGCACAGGAAGTATTGTGTATTTCGGAAGGATCTGTGTAATACTGTGTTAGGGAAGGGTATATCTACATCATGTTAAGTTAAATGAGGTTGAAGTAAGGCCCTTGAATCTTTCAAGGATCTGAACAATATTGCTATGCCTACAAAGACACTACGAGTGCACTGATTTATATAAAGCATTGCTACTAGTATTCAACTATCGAAGTTTATGTACTGTTCGTTTCTGCACCCCTCCAGTGGCTCAGCGGTAAGCCTAACGGCTCACACCATTAAAAACCGGGTTTCAATACTCATGGTGGGCACAGCACAGATAGGCAGCTCATTGGGCTTAACAACAAAGAAACTTTTATTTTCACAATTGTAGATGTAGTAACAATTTAGTCATCTTCTGGTAATTTCTTCCAGGGATGTAGACACAACATCGTTTACATAGTGGTTAGTACTATTACTAGTGTTCTAGCTTTTAATGTCACAAGATTATTTGATTCCCACAGCCCAGTAGTAAGCGAGAAGATTGTTGATCTGGGGTTCCGTGGTGCCAAAATAAAATCGCGCTTCGCAATTTGGGGCCGTTGGAGGTGGGTGATGTTGACTAGCTGCCTTCTCTCTAGTCCACTACTTCAAAATTAGGGTGGGCTCTGCGTAAAGTTCAACAAAGAAACAAATATTAAATATAGTATTCGACAGTAGAGCCTTCTGGTGTATGGTTAATCCAATATACCTTTGGTTGCATCTCAAGCACGTAAACTCATACAGCAGTAGCGAGGTGTTCAACGGGTGTTAATAATGCTTGGAGACGGCTTGAATGGGTAATGAAGAAAGACTTTAATATAAGTTTGATATAACAGCAAATGTACAAGGTTTCGACAAGGTTTTGTCACCATCATCATCAGGTTATGTTAAACTTATATTAAAGTTTTTCTTCGTTACCCATTCAAGCCGTCTCTAAGCATTATGAATCTCAAAGTGGGTTCCTCGTCATCGAATTTCAATGGATGTTGTTAGAATAGGCTAAAAAGGGGTATTTAACGCTAAAGTCCAACACGGGATACCTCGCTATTTGTGTTTGCGTTTACGTACTCGAAGTTAAAACAGGAATATATTGGGTCAACCAATAGAAGTCTCTGCAGTCAAATAAAAAAAGGGATCAACCAATAGAAGGCTCCGCAATGAAATAAAAAAGGGATCAACCAGTAGAGAGCTCTGCTGTCAAATAATAATAATAATAAATATACTGTGATGTTAAAACTTACATCACCAGCAGTATTATCATCCACCGCCTGAACGAATGTGTTGTGTCTCCCTCTAGTTTTTTTTTATTTTATTTTATGCCATCCTCCATATCCTGGAAGAATTTTATCTTCTAATGTTAGAATCTGTTGCCATTAAGGTAAGAAAACCAGCTCTTAAATAAAAGATGACCGAACTGCTAGAACATCTTCAAATGTGAAAACGTAAAAGACAGAAATAGATGAATTTCGATCGTTGAATATAAGGTGGACTAAAGGAGAATAATTTGGTAAGTTAAAAATAGACAGACACTAGTAGCATCCTGACTCGCATGAAAGATTATAAGTACGTACAAATTTGTAATATTCTATTAATATGTAATGTTGTTTTTGTTACCAAACACAAGTAATCATGTCAGCACTGTTTATTAAAGCGAATGTAAACTTTTTTTTTGTAATTTCATAAAACGGCCTGAAGTACAACTGAATGATGAAGTTGGTAATTAAATTTCCAAAGTCACTTTTAATGTGATCAAAGAGGATAATTTGATAAGCTCAAATTAGTGTGAAATGTCACTCGAAAAATATATATTTGGTTTGATGTTAAGCACAAAGCTACATAATGGGCTATCTAGCATAGTAAGACTGCAGACATACCGCTGTGTCACTTACATATACAGTATTGGAAATAATTATGAAAACAGTGAATAAAATTGGTATAAAATGCAAATATTATGACATTTCTTCTCTCTACTGTATATAAAAAAATGAACTGCACCAAGTGGTGATAGTTATTGGCTGTTATCAACCAATCAGACAGTGTCATACAAGCATAATACATATAACAGTACAGGCAGTCATATTATTCCCATCAGTAGTGTGGTGAATGCATTCATAGCTCCTAGGACAGAAATACCACGTAACCAATACGTAGAAGTCAATATTTTGGCTGGTGAACGCTACTCCATGCCACAAGATGAGGCACAATTTCACGTTTCAGTAGGGGATGTATGGAACCCCTGAAGATAATAGAGGTAGTTGGGATAGAAAGCCCAAACTTTACAAGAGTAATTTTTAGTATCTCAAAGTGTTCTCTTTACAATATATAAAACAATTCAATAGAGATATTGCCAATGACTCAGCTGTAGGTACAAGTCTGAATGAATGTTAAAGTAAGACTAACATGAACATTAAGCAGCCTCAATGGTGTTTGGCCACTTGAAAAGAACACTGCTCAACAGAGATATACACCCAAAAAGTTGACAATAGCATTGGATTTCAAACAAGTGGATGAGCAAAGCTAGATAAGGGTGCTCTTTACAGATGACTCAAAATTCAAATTGTTTTTCAGCAATCATTAATAGTTCTTTCAATGGCAGAGAGAGGACTAGCAAATGTACAACATCTACAGTGATTGGACCAATACAAGTGTAAACTGCATCTCAGTCAAGGATGTTGAAAATCTACACAAAATTGATGGCACCCTGATTACTAGCAGGTACAGGCATATTATTATCCATCATATCATTTCCTCAGGAGCAAGACCTATTGGACAGTGATTCATCTTCCAGGAAGGTAATGATTGAGTGGCCCAAAGCATCTAACAAATCTCATGAAACGATTCCTAGAAGAAGAAAAAAAGAGAATGACAGAACACTTCCAACTATGGCTTGGCCTGCACAAAATCTCAATATGAATATCAAGACTATATGAGACATATGAAAAATAAAACATTTGTATGGATCGAAACAATTTGGCTGAATTGTAGAAAGTAATATAGGATATGTAGAGCAATGTTTCACAAGCATACATAGACAAACTACTACATTTAAAGCAAATATAAAATACTAGTGCACCACACAACATATTTGATTTGATTTTGTGTTTATTGTAAAAATGTATTCCAGTAAAAATAAGTTGACCATTTAGTTTAAATTCCTCATTGTTTGCGACCCCTGTATGTGCAACACTATTGATTTTTCATAATTATTATCAGTACTGTAAGTAGATAACTCTAAAATCTATTTACAGTTAAGACTGTCATTGCTTTCCTTTGAAAATGTGTAAAACTGTACGCTTTCAAAATTATTAGCTCTTAAAATTTAACTGAGAGAATAATCTGTTTATCATAGAACTTAAAGGGTTCTTACTTGCAGCTTCATGGCCTTGTAGCCAGCATGCTGTATGCAGGCGTAACACGTATTTCCTGCCCCCTACTTAATAAAGAAATCCAAAATTTCCATACACAGAGAATATGTACTTTTTATATATCCACCAAAATGAACTTTGTCAGGGGAGAGATTCCTATAAACTGGGGCATGCATTATTGAAATATTTAGCAATCATTTCCACTGGCTGGTCATTTGATATTCCGAAGATATAACTTTCTTTATCTTACAGTGAGAGTCATGTAGGTGGTGCCTGTACACTGAGAAGTGGTACTATCATTTTCTGTATATAATGCTATGTTTTCTCAGTCAGGAACAGAATTTGTAGCGTTAGATCTTGATTCATTAGATTTATTACAGAGCTCTCAAGTAAAGGCGCAAAGAAATACACTTGTTTACCTTAGATTGTTTTTGGGTGTTAAATAAAGATTGTTTTACTGTCTTACATATTCTGTTCAGTCTCTTTCTTTTCTTCGAACTCAGTCGAGGACGGAGAATTCGGATATGCTCTTTAATACATTTCCTGGCGAACCTCTTGTTAATCTACAGAACCTACCCGATTCCTCTAAGTCCAATTAGTGCAATTGAAAATAACATAACTATACCCTGCTGCGGACTGAAAGGTTTAAGGTTCGAACCTGCGATATACCATTGAACGCACCTTGCCCTTTCAGTGATGGGTATGTTATAAAAGTGACCATCCATTTAGGCGGAAGGTGTTGTTGATAGACAATCCCGCTGTTCATTCAAGAGAAATATGTAGACGACGAGTGCTGCCGACTGGTTTGCCTCCATATGGTCAATAATTCAAAATTAAAAACAACCTTGGGGTCTCTGACCTTATTGTTTAACCCATGTATCCCAGGTTCAAATCAACAAATATATTTACATCCTGAAACATTTTAATGATTAATTCTTTATAATATCAACTTTAATATCTGAGATGAACGTAATTTAAACAGTCCTTAATTTTGACAAAACATACTATGATAATGTGAAAAGAAAACACATTTATAATGAAATTTATTTATTTAGACTCAAACTATCGGAAGTTGTTGTATGTTATTAAACACAAAGCTACACAAAGGGCTATCTGTACTCTGCCCACCACGGGTATCGGAACCCGGTTTATAGCAGTATAAGTCCGCAGACATACCATTGTGCCACTGTGGGAAGTGGTTGACGGAGAAAAACTTGAGACTTAATTGTCTGTTAGGGTAAAGAACGTGATGAGAGCGAAATATTGTTGTCCTTTGCTTAACAATACTTCAAGTAATGTTTTGAAATCACCCGTCACATGTGATCTAAATATAACAACAAATGTATTATAACACAGGTGTAAAAGGCAAAATAAAAGTGTGGGCCTAAGGTTTCTTTGACCGAGCGAAGCGGGCCCGGCATGGCCTGGTGGTTAGAGCGCTCGACTCGCAATCTGCGGGTTGCGGGTTCGTATCCCGTCACACCGAACATGCTCGCCCTTTCAGCCGTGGGGACGTTATAAAGCTGCGGTTAATCCCACTATTCGTTGGTACAAAAGTAGCCCAAGAGTTGACGATGGGTGGTGTTGACTAGCTGCCTTCCCTCTAGTCTACCACTGCTAAATTAGGGATAGCTAGCGCAGATAGCCATCTTGTAGTTTTGCGCGAAATTCGAAACAAACCTAACCGAGCGAATCGGGAAAATGTGCTCCACATTCTGGACGGAGTCAAAGGCTCGCCTTAGGACCTTATAAGCTCTTCGATACTGCATTACATTTTATGCATTCCCCTGCTTTTCCTGAGAATATTTTTTTTTCCTTATTTTTACATATTTGTTACTGGGACAGATTGAAAGAGTGGCGCATTCCTCCGCCAGTGATTAATAAATATAAAAAAACAGTCACAAAGTAAAGATACAGTCACAAAGTAAAGAAACAGTCACAAAGTAAAAAAAAGCAGTCACAAAGTAAAAAAAACAGTCACAAAGTAAAGATACAGTCACAAAGTAAAGAAACAGTCACAAAGTAAAAAAAAACAGTCACAAAGTAAAAAAACAGTCACAAAGTAAAGAAAGTAAAGATACAGTCACAAAGTAAAGAAACAGTCACAAAGTAAAGAAAGTAAAGATACAGTCACAAAGTAAAGAAACAGTCACAAAAGTCCTTCTCACCATTGTAATGGTATTTTTAAGTATTTACATAATTTTTAAATATTATTTTTTTATGCTCCAGAAAAACCATCAATACAACATTGATCATTTTTTATAAAATCTCTAGAAATCAAATCAATAGAGGATTTAGTATCTCAAGGTGCTATAGACTACGGAACGGTGGAAAACTCTATAGTACACGAATTCTTCGCTACCCACCAGATGGAGCTGTTTCGAATCGCTTTCCAAAATATGAGGAACAAAGATACTTTCGTACATACAGCTGGAGATGGCATCAAGAGAGTGCGCCAAACTTCATCTATACCTGCAGGTGAGCATGAAACTTCCCGCTATTCTTATGGTTAAAAATTGGAAATTTTAGTGCCATCTGTTGGGATTTAAATTTATAAGTATCATTTTTTTTTTTTTCAATTTGAAGATTTTTCTCCAATGTCTTTATCAATAATAGGGTTAAATCAATGACGAAAGTTGTAAATACAGAATATTTTGAAAGAGAAAAAAATCAATATATAACGATTAAAAACGATATTCATAGTAGTAAAATACACGTAGGATAAAAATTGTTTGTTGTTAAGCGCAAAGTTACAAAATTAGTTGTCCGTGCTCTGCCCAACGTGTGTATCAAAACCCGATTTTTAACGTTATAAGCACTCAGACGTAAGGCTTAGCCACTGGGAAACAGGGTAAAAAAAGTTGGTAAATCACATTAAAAATATCCAATAAAACATTAGCGCTTTTTGCAGAATGTGACCAGGGCATTGTCAACAAATTTAATTATTTAAAGTTCATATCATTAGAAAAGGCATTTAGTTTTGTTTTTTTTAGCGCAAAGCAACAAAATTGGTTATCTGCTCTCTGTCCCCGGGGCCCGGCATGGCCAGGTGGTTAGGGCGTTCGACTCCCAATCTGAGGGTCGCGGGTTCGAATCCCCATCACACCAAACATGTTCGCCCTTTCAGCCGTGGGGGCGCTATTATGTGACGGTCAATCCCACTATTCGTTGGTAAAAGAGTAACCCAAGACTAGCTGCCTTCCCTCTAGTCTTACACTGCTAAATTAGGGACGGCTAGCGCAGATAATCCTCGTGTAGCTTTGCGCGAAATCCATAATAAACAAACTTATTGTTTATCTTTTCAATTACGCGCAAAGCAACTCGAGAGCTATCTTTGTTAGTCGTCCCTAGATAGACTAGAAGGAAAACAGTTGATCAACAGCACCAAATAGGATTTACCGTAATATTACAACGCTACCACGGCGGAAAGGGTGATGTTCGGTGACGGGGTTAGAACCCACGACCCGCAAATTCGGAGTCGAGCACCATGTATGGCCGAAAATCGATTGATAGTTTATTTTATTGTTTGGCTCGTTTTGGTTTTCAAAAATCAAAATTACAAGTATAAAATGTTTAATTAAGTATCACAACTATCAGTGTATAAAATCAAATACTTTTTGGTTAGTTTACAAGCAATAATGATACATTTAAATAATTTCCTATATTTACACTAACTAGGTGATCCTGGTCGATATGCTTTCATTTTTGATTCTCCCGTGTTAGACTTCGCAGCCCAGCAGGAGCCATGTAACACCGAAACTATTGGACTTTTCGCACCTGTAAGAAAGTTATTTTTGTGAGTTTATTTCGCCACCTAGCGGTGGAATATATTTATTGTAACGATGTTTGTGTCAAAGTAAGTTAAAAGACGTCAAATTGTGTAAGGAGTCCAGTAGACGTCTTTCTTTCTGTATATTGATGTGCCAAATCCGCCACGGGTATCGAAACCCGGTTTCTAGCATTTTTTTTTATAAAGAAACAAAGATTTTGTTACTGCGGACTTACAACGCTAGAATCCGAGTTTCGATACTCGTGGTGGGAAGAGCACACATAGCCCATTGTGTAGCTTTGTGTTTAATTACTAACATACAAACTGTCTGTAATAACGTGGAGTACTAGGCACTGCGTTAATTCATAATACAGGACTTAATAATTTAAAGCGAACTCCGAGTATATTGTTATTTCTTAAACATAGCAAAACTACGGCTTTGGTCTGCAGAAAGACTCCCCCTACGAGGAAAAGTTCAGCCTTGGTATCCTCAAGCTGAAGGAAGAAGGATTCTTAGAAATGCTGTACGAACGGTGGTTTAAGGGAATATGCAGCCAAGTTACTGGTATGTGATAATAATATAAGATGAAGAATTAATATAAAATTACCTCACCTACTTTAACGTCTGTAACTCGAACCCTACTTACCAGAATGTGCTTATTTGTTTTTTGAAATTTGCGCAAAGTACTCGAGAATGGTAGGCTAGAGGGAAAAAAGTTATTCGACACAACCCACCGACGACTCTTGGGCTACTCTCTAACAACGAATAGTGTGACCGACTGACACATTATAACGCCCTCACGGCTGAAAGGGCGAGCATTCTAATGATCAGAGAGCTCTAACCTTTGGTAGCTTAACTAGTGAGACGCTTGGAAAGTAATTCCAGTGCTAAAAATGAAATTTGCATAAAGGCTTGTATGAAATCAGCAGGAAACATGCCATATTTAATTCTGCCTTTAAGAACAGCTACTAATAGGCTATCTGTAAGCGCTTGAATCCTTCTCCCAAACAAACTATTACAACAAATGTTATAACATTCATATTTTCAATTGCCAAAGTTTTGATACTCTATCTGTGTTAAAGAGTGTTTGTTGGATACGTCACAAGAATTAACATAACACACGGCAGTAAGGCCGGTAAATACATCTATATTGGCTCATCGTATGCACATCGAATGTCATCCATGATTTCGGTCGACACCTTTAACAGACCAAAGGATGAAGAACAGTTACAAATCCGTGAGGGTCTAATGATGAGATATTTGAAGCTAGCTTTAACTCAACAAGACCGGTCGTTCCCTTTCCTTCTCACACTGTGTTCCGTTAATTTGTATTTCATACCAGTTGAGTGACTTAACTGTATGCTTATTTCTATTGGAAGCTGATAAGAGTCATCTAATACGACCGCATTCCGTCACGACATTGCTCAGACTCTGAGAATCGACTGTTGGATATTTTCAACCAGAATAGCACCTTATGTGAAACATGGGCTAAACAGCTACGCCATTCCTAATTTAAAACTGTCATTAAGAATGAGGGCAACCAGTCAGTAGCAACTGCCGCTTAGGCGGCTACTCTTTACCCTGACAGTGCGATTGATTGTCATAGTTTTAATGCCTTCGCAACTGAAAGTGTTTAACATACAACAGCATACTGTAGCTCAAACCTTGAATGTTTATGTACGCTAACTACTGGGCTACACCCAGCCTCAGGAATCGCGTATTTAGCAGACATTTTGGCTGTGGGATCACCTCAAATCATTGGTGTATTTGAATGATCTCGTTACCATGACGGACCTGAAAATTAACAAACGAAGTCAAGTACAATTGTTGATAATTGGATAGTTTTGTTCAAACGTGTATCACCCTTCTCTCATGATGTAAACAATAACTAGGCAAATTTCCAAATCAACAACCGTGGTGACAATTATTTCTAACAAGAAAATCGTCTTTCCCATCCACTCACCAGTTCATCTAACAAATATTACGTTTTTGGTAATTAGAGTTCGAGTTATGGGCGTAAGAATGAACGAAATTTCTTGGTTAGAGTAGGGGAAAGTAGCCCGTGGTCTACCGGGATTATAAGGCGACTATGAATTTTATAGCCTGATTATTAATAAAAAAAAACTTCGCCTTATAATCGGGCCAATACAATACGGTATATCCAACAAAAAAAATATCCAGTATCCACTATAAAGCAAATTTGAAACTATTCTGTAGAGAATGAATTTTAACAACTTTCGCTGCTCATACTGGGCTAGGTCAAAGTGATAAGTGAAAATCAGATCCTAATCAAATTCCTAAGTATCAAAAAATCTAACTTCAAGAACCCCAGACCTTTGGGAAAGTACTTTTCTTCTTCAGTAAGTTGTCGGGTTATTGTTCTGATGAATTGAGATTTTGCAGTATAGTAGATTTTTTAACGAAGTGTGAAATAACAAATATCAAGTGATATGATATATTTTGATTTGTATTTTGTTTACTCTGATCAATTTACAAAAACCTACATACAGATATTCATCATAAGGACTTGGCTATACCATATCTTGTAAATATATGTATAAAAAAAACTTAGTTGATGTTACGACTTCACAAGTTTAGGCTTAAGTTATAATACCGCGTGAAACTGTAATATTAGTATATTATACTGTACTTTATTATTCCATGTGTTCATGTTGTAAACAACTTAACAGGTCCCGATGTACATGATTTGGCCAAAACCTTGATCCTTTGATTACCGTGAATTTCCGTGAATTTAAATTTCATAAAAGTTGTTTTGGTTTTAATAACGGGTTTTCCATAATTCAGTTACGCAGATTTCGAAAATAATATTCATTTTTTATATCGCGTGAGGATTTTTTTACGAATCGGAAAGAAAGAAAAACTTTTACTTTGATCAAGTTATTATTTTGTTTACCACAATGAACATTTTTTTGTTGTTACGTGTGTTTCTCGTGGGTTCTAGAAGGACCGATAAGCCTCTCACGTCGCGATTGGTCTAGAGAAATCTATATCCAGTGGCTGTCAACATTTTAAGCATAACAAAATGTGACCCGATTTCAATGAAAGTGATTCACTTATATAAAAGTACATATGACGTTTTGTAAAAAATCTGTACGTGATGGAGAAAAATGGATATCACTTTCAGATTCAGCGTACAGGAATTACTGTAGAACATGTAAAAGTTCAAGACAATAAAACCATCGCAGGCCTGGGTTGCATTTCTCTTACAGCAGTGTTTTCCAAACTTGAAATAGTGGCGCCCCACTAACTCAGCAAAGTTTCTCTTGTGGCTCCCCGCCACTTCACATGAACATAATTTTCACAAGTGATAACAGTAAAATCAACATTTTCCTTACCTGTTTTTTAATAGTTTTTAAAATGAAAACAAAATGTTTTTAAGGAATGAGTAAATTCCCCACAGTTTAGGCCTTACAGTGATTAGTAAATCCCCCACAGTTTAGGCCTTACAGTGATTTTACCCACTTCTTTGTGTTTTTGTCGTTATACTTTAAAATTAAACAACCTTTCAGATTTACTTTGAGCCCTAGAAAAAAAAAGATAATGTTGGAGTTTATTTGTTATTGATTATACTTTCAAGTGTTGATTATTTTAACAGTACACAATTTACTCTATAGCTTCCCGGACAAAATCGGAAAACTATCAACTGGCATTTAACGCCATGATTGGTGTATTTTCCTGTCTGAGTGGCGGAATAGGAATTAGCCTTTTGGTTGTAGCCGGAAGTTGGCTGGTTGTTTGTATCAAGAAGATGAGAAAGGAAAAGAATGTAAGATCTTTTTTTTTTTTTCTAATTTCCCGCAAAGCTAAACGAGGCCTATCTGCGCTAGCCGCCCCTAATTTAACAGTGTAAGACTAGATGGAAAGCAGCTAGTCAATACCACCCACGGTCAACTCTTGGGCTACTCTTTTACCAAGAAATAATGGAACTGACTGTCACTTTATAACGCCTCCCACAGCTGAAAGAGCAAGCATGCACGGGAATACGAACCCGCGAGCCCCCCCCTCCCCAGTGGCACAGCGGAATGTCTGCGAACTTACAACGCTAGAAACCGGGTTTCGATACCCGTGGTGGGCAGAGCATTGATAGCCCTTTGTGTAGCTTTGTGCTTAACTTCAAACAAACTCGAGCGTCTCAATCACCAGGCCCATTGAAATTTAAACAAAAATATATCATTATATGTACCCTTACAATGATTACAAAGACTTACCTTTCCAATATGCCCACAGTTTTACTAAACTGAGCCATAATCAGAGCCACCATTAAAATAAAGTTTGTTTCTTTCCAAGTACAGAATTTAAACAATATCACATTAACGGTAGTGGTAATCATAAAGTGACAAAAATCCCATAACTTACGGGGCTAGACGTTGCCCTGAGGCTTTATTGTGGGTCCAAGATTCAAGTCCCTTTGCCGAACGAATACCGCTCCGCACTTTGGGGCCGTGAGTATGTTGTAAGATATATGACTGACGATCAAATCCCACTATTTTATTATAGAGTATCACAAGAGATGGCGGTGGGTTCTGTTGACTAGGTAGCTGCCTTCGCTCGAGTTAAAGATGTGAGGAGGGGGCAATCCAAAAGTTCAGAGAAAGTTTTATCTAGATGGGCATCGTATTAATGCGCTTAAGACTCCTTACAACTCACAATAACAGTAATGACCTTTGATATTAAAAGCAAGAACAACATTGAAAAGATATATCTTTATTTTGACCGACTGCCAACAATAAAAGACAACATGTTTCTGCGTAAAGCTGCCTAACACGTAGTCTGTTAACGTTGGCAGTTTTTATTGTCCATTTTAACCTTTGTTCCTGTTTTTTACTTTTAAAATTTGTGCACAAATTGCCTTTATCGAATTTTCAATGACCTTTGATTTTTTTTTATACGTCTCACACAGAAGTCCGTATATCATCAACTTAAACTTTTCAGTTGCTATAGATACGGAACGAAATGTCTGTCTTCTGTTTCCTCACTGTAAAATTAATCATGCAACGACACTCACAGTTCAGGGTACACATTACAATTGAATTGTAATCAGTCGCTTTCTTGAATTAGTGTACATGTACATGATATAATCTCTAGTTGGAGGTTAAGCCTAACGATGACTTGATTTGGCCTCAAAATGTAGTTAATATGCGTACATCAAGGCTGCTTTCTATGTCTGTTAAATGTCATACCGACGCCAGGTGGGAATTGAGACTGTAATATGTCCAAAAGGATCTGCATGAAACATCTGCTACCACACTTTTAACAGAATATTCTTTTGACTGTTCACATCAACCGTCGAGATAGGGCGAATTTGATTAAACCAGAGTCTAATAATAAGACAATCAGTAAGGTTAAAATGTACGAATAAATAGACATTATACTGAACCTTTTAATAAATTCAATTTGCTACTACCAATTTTGAATAATATGTGGCAAAATTCAAGGGTGACCAGATACGTGGCAAAAACCGGTATCTTATTTGGCATTAGTAGAAGTTTGTAGAAATCAAATGATATTCTGATTAGTGTTTAACAAGTATTTCTAGGACTTATTTTCCTTTATAATATACACAAATGTCAATATTTTTTTTTTTACAGAGTCGCTTGAGAGTTTATCCGGCTAACCGTTCTTATCCTACAGAAATCCTTGACCGTAAAGGAGCCACCTGGACTTGGATAACTGGAAGGCAATGACAGAAGTGCATAATCGACCTTGGACACGGCATGACTGTTTTGTCAACGACCTTGAACTATTATTTATTCTATGTCTGTATAGTAAAAACGAAGTACGGTTAAGCCTACAGTATCAGAAATCAAAACTTTTTAAACAATACAATTCAAAATTACCTTAGTAACTTCTAAGACTATATTTATTGTTATTATTTGAATATTAAAAACATACGACAATAATAGTGTTAATTTGGGTGTTGTGTAATGTATTAATATAGAGATTGTGTTTAGAGTTAACAATGAAACTATTGATATTACTAATTTTTTGACACTTTATTCTTAACAAGCCCATTACAGGGTTTCACATATACATACAAAAAAACAGTGTTATTTCAGTTTCTATATTCTTCACAAATTTTCACCGGTGGAATACAAACCTCACCAATAATCCTTGGTAATGTCAAGGTAAAATATGAACACTAAGTACTGTTAAAAAATAAATTAAAATGCGATTTAATTAACTCGTTAATAATGAGGGTTAAAATACTGTCAGAGAATAATCACGTTCTACACGTATTGTGTTCCAAAATTACTTTAATTACCGTTAATTATACTCTCAGCTCATTCAAGTTAAACAAAACGACTCAGTTTAAAAAGATTCATCAAAATGTATTTATTTATTTTTTTCAGAGAAATATATTTGTGGGTTAACGTTTTGTAACAATTCCCAAATATTGTTTTTGTGAGCTTAAGATACTATCGTAACTGCTCTTGTTAAAATCTATGTTTTAGGTCACCTGTTTTAACCAATCGTACCACTATACAGTAGTATGTTGTCTGTCAGTCAGTAGACACTAAAATGACGTCGCATAAGGAACGCTTAACGTTGCAATTTGTACTGTCGTGATGTCAGTAGAACGTGCGCCTGCCAGGAAACACGAGAAGAATTATACAACACAGAATGACATATGAACTTGAAAAGCAAGAAATAAAAACATCTGTTACTCTTAAAATGGTTTTATTTATTCTTGAAACAGAAAACTTTCGGGGACCCCAAGGAAGTACATCTAGTTTTCAATACGAATATTTTATCCTGTTGTTGAATTCAACATAATTCTTCGATGGATTAGCTTTAGGATTATTTGTTATAATAAATAAAGTACACGTTAATAAGACTTGACAAACGTCGCAAAATAAAATTTTAATATAAAATTAATTTTCCAACATATTTTTCTAACGGTTTCTCTAGTTGGGTGGGTTCTTTTTGAATTGTTCGATAAAAAGAAGTGTGCAAAGTTCAGTCCATTTATTGATAACGATAGCGTTTTATTTCTTGACTTTCAAGTTCTACAAGTTCCACGTAAGTAATGGTATGCGTAACTTTATAAATAAATAACGCATCAATAAACGTGCCACTTACAAATTTACTCGTAAGTAGGATACTTATTATATCTCTAATACTCAACTGAAAACTTATCGTAACAAATTTAAGAAACAGACACTCCGACTAACAAACTCGCTAACTCAATAATCGATCAACAATCTCAACAACTAGCTCTTTACTTATACGTTTAATATTTTTACTATACTTGCAAGAAAATTCCAGAAGGTAAGCCACGCGCTCATCGCGTAATATCAACATTCACTCTAGACAAACAACACAAACGTTTAACGCTCATCACGTAATATCAAAATTCACTCTAGACAAACAACAACACAAACGTTAACAACACAAATATCAACATTCACTCCAGACAAACAACAACACAAACGTTTAACATTCGTAAAGTAATAGCAGCATTCACGCTAGACAAACAACACCAACGTTTAACGCTCATCACGTAATATCCACATTCTCTAGACAAACAACAACAGAAACGTTTAACGCTCATCACGTAATATCAACATTCACTCTAGACAAACAACAACACAAACGTTTAGCGCTCATCACGTAATATCAAAATTCACTCTAGACAAACAACAACACAAAAGTTTAACGCTCATCACGTAATATCAACATTCACTCTAGACAACAACACAAACGTTTAACGCTCATCACGTAATATCAACATTCACTCTAGACAAACAACAACACAAACGTTTAACGCTCATCACGTAATATCAACATTCACTCTAGACAAACAACAACACAAACGTTTAACGCTCATCACGTAATATCAACATTCATTCCAGACAAACAACAACACAAAAGTTTAACGCTCATCACGTAATATCAACATTCATTCCAGACAAACAACAACACAAAAGTTTAACGCTCATCACGTAATATCAACATTCACTCCAGACAAACAACAACAGAAACGTTGAAGTAATATACACACTTATTTTCGATCACCGATCACCTTCGTGTTTATTTGCTGTCATTTTGATTATTTAAAACACGTAGAAAATACAACAATCGCAAACTCAATAATAATAATAATAATAAAAGAACGAAACGAAAAGAAGATTATGGTAAGTAAGCTCGCCCACATTTTCTTCACTTCCGCTGAAGAACGAAGACTGCAGGTCGATTCAGATCAAACAATCGATTTAACTGAAATTGTATACGGTGAAAACGTCTCGTAAACAGCGTTGCTAGCTTACTAAATGTCAACATTATTACCATATTCTCGCGCCCTCTTGCTTTATAACAATATACCTAAATAAATACGTCCGATATATCAGTGTTATAGGAATACTTGAGTGGTATTTGTTTGAGATACGTTATCATGACCTTATAAGATATGTCAACAAAGAAGCACCTAATAACATATATCGATTGATATATTTTGTTGCAGGAAATTGGTAAGGTTTTGTTTGAGTATTCGAAATTTGTGTGCCTAAAATATTATCATTATTGAATTCTGTTCTTTATAGAGACATGTATAAATAAATATGTTACGTCTCTGTTCGTTTGTTAATTTTCGGTAGAAATTCTTTCCGAGAAACTTCAGGGATACAAGTCCCTTCTTAAATAAAACTTGTTTATTCTTTCTCGTTACAAACTTTGTAATACACTTAATTTCCACAGTCACTTTAACTTAAACACACGCTATAATTCACAACGATTCACGCGCTTTACTGGAGATATAGACTCGGATAGTTGAGTAAAGCGGGCGGTAGGCACCGTAAATCTCTCTATCTGCGATTCCAATTCCAATTAATTCTCTCGCTTTATTTGCCGCACTTATATACAATAAAAGCGCGCGTCTAGCAAACGCTAGGACGTTCGACAGGTTTCTCGATCTTTCTAGAACTCCAGCGCAAGCTCCCAGCGTCGTACGACTTCCGCTGTCGTAACAGGTATATAGGGTGTAAATATATACAGGTTATAAACATATATGCAAATAATGTTGTAATAAATAACGTACATATTAACGAATATAATATTGTATATATATATATATGTGCGTATGTGTCACAAAACCCTCAACTATATTTACACTATATACATTACACATATGAGTAACAAAATAATCAATCATGAACAGACTACAAGAAAGTTGAATTAATTATTAATTTATAAAAGCGACACCAGGTGCTCAAACCCACAACATTCTCGTGTACGACTGTTTCCCGTCAACTGCAGTAAGTTGTGAGAGAGACGTTTGCTTGTGGTTTATTTATTATTCGTCTCAATTTAGGCCTAAGTATATTTCATAAGAGAATTGAAAATGTTAGATTCTAATACGTCAACTGATGAAGGAACACATATAATTGGATTGGAGGATTAAGTTTAGGAATTAAAAGTGGAAACGAGGGGTAAACATGCAGAAATGAATAGGCTAGAGAAATATACAGAGAAAAAGTTGGTTATGTTCTCAGTACGCAGTTGAACGCGTCAATAACGCGATTAAATGAAATAAATATTGAATTAGCAAAGTTACTGAGATTAAATAAATCGTACATAGATGTTTCACCATCGCTATTTAAAATGTTTTAAATAAACAGTTCAGAATAGAAAATAATTATGGAAACAGCGAGGACAAAAAAAAGTATAAAAGGCAAACACTAAAGGAATGTCACCCCTTTATTGTGTGAAAATGGACTGCACCAGAGCACAATCACGTGATGACAATTTATACTACGATTGGTTGTGTTTGTCATCCATCTAATTACAAAGTGTCATGGCTGTTAAAACCTGTAAAGGTACAGGCAGTTATACTATGCCCAGTACTAGCAGTGTGATTTGTTCCCAGGACTGAAATGCCGGTGTATACCATATGCGAAATATTGTAGCAAATCCAGGTTTCAGTAGGAGCTACGTGCAAGAGACTGGGGAGATTACATGAAATTGGTACTGTTAATAATAGCAATGGAGAAGATAGAAACGATACTCTCCAAAAGTAATATCTTAGATAAAAGTAGTATCTTAGAGTACGTTCTTTATAGGACAGATAATGGTCGAGTGCCGAATTTTTCAACGACTTTGCTTTAAATATAGGTGAAAATGTTATCTTCAGAATAGGAACATACACATCGGACGATGTGGTTTCAATGGACGTGTAGCTGCTTGAGAAACACTACAATAAGAGGTTACCAAATTAAATGGGAATCGGACCAAAAAGTGTGGAATGATAAAAGCCAGAGACGTGTGCCCTTCATGGATGAATCAAAATTCAAATGATTCAGCAACAATGACCGACAGCTTATTTGACACGCAGAGGAGAACGGTATCATATTCTATATACAACATCAACAGTGAAGCATGGTGGAGATTCCTTACAAGTTTGGAGCTAAACCCTAGCCAATAGAGTCGGTGATCTATGCAAAATTAATGGCACCCTGACTGCTGCCAAGTACAGTCAAATTCTGATCCATTATGACATTCATTCCCTCAGTGACATGATTCATCGAGCGAAGATTGACGTTCACCAAGACAATGATCCCAAATATACAGTAAATGTAGTAATATGATATATTCACGATAAAATAATCTTGACATAAACATTGTTAAGGATGATGTATAGTGTTAATATAAAAATTTCGAAGCAGAAAAGGCGAGTAACTAAACAAAATGG